ATTTTATCGAGAAAATGGTTTTGTTTGATTCAACCATTGCGACACTCCCCACAGCGTGTGTCTAAAATTGTGTTGGTATGTTGCGTATTACACAATTTATTGATGAACAACAGAATATACTGTCCACCAGGATTTGCCGATTATTATGACTCTAGTGGAAATTTAGTTGAAGGTGAAAGGAGGAAAAATCGAAATGACTTTACACCGCTTCAAGCTGCAGTTGGGCGTTCATTTAAAAATGCAAAGGACATAAGAAATCATATGAAACATTATTTTAATTCTCCTGTTGGCAGTGTTCCGTGGCAAAGAGAAATTTTTTTCGTTTAGAAACATTTCTTTTATTGATACGAAAAACAAAAGATACATCCAAAAACATAATGACACTTGGTTTCATAGGTACGTACGTATGTATATAGATTGCTTTTTATTTAATAAGTACGAGAAAATTGAAATAAAGCTGGTCATTGTTTGCAGGATGATTAATTCTTTACAGATATTGTAGGACTGGCCGAGAGGAATGTAAAAATCAACCAAACAACCAATTAATCAAAGTGGATCAACCAAACCATTTTCAATTGTAATTCTAATGCTACCGAATTAAAGAAGTTTAGTTGATCTCCTAAAATGAGTATTCCACTACATAACAAAAATTCTTGCAATCCTTGTTTTCAACACATCGTCAATTACATAGCCCCCAGACTCCCAAAATCGATGTTAACATTTCTCGCAGCCAGTCTTACAATATATAAAAAGAATTAATCACCCTGCAAACAATCGCCAGATTCGCCTTTTTACGCCAAATTTGGTTGTTGTTGTAGTAGCGGCTACAACAACCCCGCCCAGATCGGTTGATATCTCAGTCGTTGTCGTCAAGTTCCACTAACGGCAGCCCTAAGAAGCGTGCAGCCTCCATTGGTTCGGTCCACAGGGACAAAGCCGTTAGGGTTGTCGGGTTTTCCGGGCATGCGAAGAGATGTTTCGAGTCGTGAGGGGTCTCTCCGCATGTCGGACACTCATTTGACACATTATTATTATTATTATTATTATTATTATTATTATTAACTTGTTCCGGTAGTACAGAGTAAGACTTAGGTCTTTTAATAGTACTTCAACAACATATATTATATTTTACAGTAATTGTTTTGCAATAAAATATCTTAAATCTAATTTTTTAATTTATTTTTTTTTTTTAACTTAACAATAAGAACAAATATGACTTAGAAAGTAGAGTAGAAGTAGGGAAAAGTAGAAGAAAGAGTAGAGTAGAAAGTAGGGAAAAGTAGAACTAAAGCAATTTAGTAGAGAAAGATAGAGACAAATTTTGAAGAACTAATACCATGCAATCGTACTGTTTTAAAATAATTGTAAATTTTTGTCCTGTAGTTGAATCTGCTTAATCCAGTCTTTACGGTCTCAGGTAACGAATTCCAGGCCCTAACCGCGTTAACGAAAAATAGTCTGGATGATGTTAGGTAGTTGAATTTTGGAATAATGAAGCAGTTGTGTCTCAGTGACCTTACTGGTATTAGCTTCTCAAACAGATAGGCAGGTATTTTGAATACAGTAAGTTTATACATAAATATACAATTCCTTGCGGACAAATAATTCTCAAGACTACAACCTAGGATCTTTGTGTTCCAGGCAGATATATGCTCATATCTATCAATCCCATATACGTAACGAGTAGCATTATTAAATGCTACATTGAGGTTATGGCAAGATATTGAATCCAGTTTGCTGTATACTATCTCAGAGTAGGTGATAATTGGAAAAATAAGTTGGAGAACTAGTTTACGTCCTGTGGCGTAAACGTTGCAGAGACTCTCAGCTTACGCAGTATAGCCCATACGCTGCTCACAACCCTATTTATATGATCAGTACAGTTAAGTTTAGAGTTGAGAATAAACCCTAAATTTTTAACCTTACCCGTAAAACTAAGTGAAATGGAACCTATCCACAATTTAGGAATATTATCGATATACACCACACTGTTACATATAGGCAAGACATACGACTTTGACGCATTTAAACATAGAGAATTATCACTAGCCCAAGCAGAAATAGCAGACAAATCACGGTTTATTTTGAAACATAAATCCTCAACGAGACCAATACGACTAGACAAGTACAACTGTATGTCATCAGCATACGCATGGACATTAACATACTGACAAACAGAAAAAACATCATTGACAAAGAGAGAGCCTTGTGGAACACCAGTATACACAAATCTAGATCGGGATATTGATTTGCTTGATTTAACCTTTTGCGTTCTACCCTCAAGGTAGCTGACCATGAGTTTCACCGCACTGTCTTTGAAGCCGAAATAATTTTTAAGCTTCAAACACAGCAAATTGTGATCCACTAAGTCAAATGCCTTCGAGAAGTCGAGTAAGCAAAGAAGTGTCAAGTCGCCGTTGTCGAAGTTTATACGAATATCGTCCAATATTTTGACCATTGCCGTTGAGCAACTATGCTTTTGCCTGAATCCAGATTGCAGTGGAGACAGTAGTTTATTTTCTTGCACAAATGCAGAAATTTGTGCAGCCATTAAGTGTTCGCAAGCCTTTGAAAATGCAGGCAGTATGCTAATAGGTCTCTAGTCGCTAGCATATGTAGCATTTGTCTTCTTCGCAACTGGTATAATTATAGCCTTTTTCCAAAGTGCTGGAAAGCAGGAGCTAGTAAAGCAATGGTTTATGATATGGGTTAGAGGGACTATTATATATTGAATTACTAGTTGGACGAATTTCAGCAAGATTCCATCCTCCCCTGTAGCATTAGACTTGATTTTTGACAGAGCCTTCAGGACATCAACCTCACTCACTCCCATAAATTGGAACTCGTGTCTTAGACTAGCACAAGATACAAAATCTTTAAACACGTGAGCACGATTGGTTTTTTTATTAGAACAAATAAAATAGTCGTTAAGCTCATCAACGTCAATCTAACACTCGGGCCTTTCTTTGCCATGCATTTTAAACTGCTTTAGATTGCGCCACAGCTGCTTGGACGGAAGTGAAGGATCTAGTTTTGAGTAACTGTACCAACGCTTTGCTTGTCTTATTATAGCAGTAGTTTCATTTCGGATTTTCGTGTAACGGCGCCAAGAAGTATCCGTCAAATTTTTTCTCCACTTAGCATAAAACTTATTGCGTTTCCTAATGGCAGAACAAACTTTTGAATTGTACCAGGGACACGAACTATTTACAACATTTACAGAACAAAGTGGAACATGCACATTAAATAACATGGACAAGTTATTGTTGAGGAAGTCAAGTTTATCATCAACAGTAGTAAGAAACCAACAAGCATTCCAATTTATATTACTCAGGTCTGAATACAAAGAGTTTACATTCACCGATTTAAAATCACGATACTCAAAGGTGGCACCTACACCTGGACGATTCATCACATCTACAGTACAAAAAATTTAATCATGGTCGGAAATAAAATCTACTTGGTCAAATTTAAGAATATGTTAGAGGTCATAGGTTATAAAATAATCAAGAAGACTAGGTGTGGAGTTATTAGCATACCTCGTTGGTGTAATTCCATTAACAACACAGAGTCCTGCTGTTGCTAACTGGTCCTGTAACTTACTACTACTTGAATTATACATTAATAGATTAACATTAAAATCACCACAAATCAGAATACGTTCATAATCTAACACAAATTCAGACAAGTCAACAAATAATGCATCTAAAGCATTATTATTAGGATTATATTCACAGGGAGTCAGTCTCGAGTTATGTAGACTGCAGACCTGTGAATGCCGTTCTAAGCACACAACCACCGGACATTGACGAGACGGAGCTTCATCTGCCTCGGGAGACAAGAACCGCAATAGCCCAACTTCGCTCTGGCTACTGAAGCTGGTTAAACTCATACCTGAGCAGACTAAACGCAGATGTGTCAAATGAGTGCCCGCATACGGAGAGACCCCTCACGACTCGAAACATCTCTTCGCATGCCCGGAAAACCCGACAACCCTAACGGCTTTGTCCCTGTGGACCTCTCCTCTCGGCCAGTCTTACAATATCTGTAAAGAATTAATCATCCTGCAAACAATGACCAGCTTTATTTCAATTTTCTCGTACTTTTTAAATAAAAAGCAATCTAAATACGCACGTACCTATGAAACCAAGTGTCATTATGTTTTTGGATGTATCTTTTGTTTTTCGTATCAATAAATGTTTCTAAACGAAAAAAAATTCTCTTTGCCATTGAACACTGCCAACAGGAGAATTAAAAAAATGTTTCATATGATTTCTTATTTCCTTTGCATTTTTAAATGAACGCCCAACTGCAGCTTGAAGCGGTGTAAAGTCATTTCGATTTTTCCTCCATTCACCTTCAACTAAATTTCCACTAGAGTCATAATAATCGTCAAATCCTGGTGGACAGTATATTCTGTTGTTCATCAATAAATTGTGTAATACGCAACATACCAACACAATTTTAGACACACGCTGTGGGGAGTGTCGCAATGGTTGAATCAAACAAAGCCATTTTCTCGATAAAATGCCGAAGGCATTCTCTATACATCTTCTAGCCGTACTTAAACGGTAATTAAGGCTGTGTGCGAGTTGACCTAAATTTTAGTACCTAAACTAATTTTCCCCTGGAAATTTCTAGCACTGCTACAATTTAGGAAAACAGCTGCTATAACTGTGCGAGTTCGTTTGACAACCTAAATTTTTTGTTTTGGAATTTGAATTTGTTTGCTTTTAATAAATACATCTATAAAATGAATAATTTTGTGGTAGCTTTGGGACTATTTAACAATATAATAAATTTGCAACAGAAAAGGAGAATGCTCCATCCTGGCATCTATAAAAGAATCCGTTTGCTCTTCTGACCCTGCGAAATAATATACATCCATCGAATTACACATATACTTATCTGAGTGCAAAAGTCAAATAAATTTTTACTTACATCTTTCTGAATATTTTCTTTTTTGTGCCATAGCAATGATAAAAACTATTTAAAACATCAAAAAATCGTTGTTCGCTCGCTCACATATATTTGACTGTTCAATTTAGGTTGAAAAGTATGCTCGCAGAAAATCTAAATTGTTCCTATTCACTGCGTTACCGAGACTTTCCAGTGATTTAGGATTTTTCTCTATTTAGGTAGCAATTTAGACGTACTCGCACACAGCCTAAATATTTTTTCTTCCTCTTTCAGTACTGTTCTTGAATGTGGTTTGTATGGTTTCATAATCCGTTTACCGAGTGTAAATGCATCATCAGCAATAAAATGAAATGGTACTTTACATCCATCGATTTCAGTGTCTGGAGGTAAGGGCAATTCGTCTCCATAGATTTGTCGCCCAATCCTGTCCAATCCAAATATGCCGCCGATCGAATAAAATTTCTACAAATAAAAATTAAACATTTATTCAGTCTTGGGGAATGAATAAGTTTATTTGTATCGTTTCTGTACAAAATGTACCTTGTAATTGTAGAAAAGGGTGCCAGAGTGCTTAGGACAAGTTATCGCAATATGCTTGCCATCTATGGAACCGAGACAATTCGGACAATTCCACCGCCTCTTAAATTCATTGGCGACCCTAAGCCAGTTTTCATTCGTGAACTCCATAAATACATATTGAAATTCATATATTATAGCATCACACACTTGACTTATTCTATAAATTGACGATATGTGACGGCCAATAGTACCAGATGCCAAACTTCCAAAACTAATGCCTAACGCATTTCCCCTGGTATTCGATCTTTTGGTCATGTGTTCCTTTTATATTTCAAATGTACTTCAATTTTCCCATATATCATATTGAATGTTTCGCGATCCATGTGAAAATTCTGTAGAAAAAAACAACAACACAGCGATTTCTTTTGACAGCACCAAAATGGTGAAAACAATATTTCCCACATGTTCACCATAGATTCACGTTCACGCTCGCACTGAACTTTATATCAGGCTATAAGGATAAGGATTGGCGCGTTTGCACCATAAACCGTTCTGCTTAACCCACATCAAGACATCAAAGCGACGCATATTACGGCTCGGAACATAAAAATGGATTCTCTCAAGTAGGTATAACTCAGTCTCCAAATAAAGGCAGCGTATTCCAATTTGGAACGCACAAACGCAGTATATAGCATCTCAATAGTATAAGGATCAGTGAACTCGGAAGAATGACGCCAAACGAATGCAAGCATAGCAAAGAAATCGGCAATAGTTTTGTTTAAGTGCAGAGTGAAAGTGAGTTTTGGGTCGAAATGTACTCCCAGATCTTTAGTCTCACTTTTCGAGTCAAGGACAATATTTGCGATGGAGGAAGATGTTCTCTTGATTTAGAATAAGATACTTTGTGGCATTTATTGATATTAAGGGTAATGGCCTGGTTTTGCTTACGCGTAAAAGCACATTTAGCTCTTAATGTACATTTATCCATACAAAATTCGTCACCTAAATGCAACTCCATTTTTGCATTAAGAATCTAAATGCTAAAAGCAACACTGTGATTTTCCAAAATTTCCACGATTCGTGCATGGTTTAATGAGCTGCGTTTCAGTGATCGCCGATCGAGATTTCATTTATTATTTTACATTATTTGGATAGAGAAAAGTTACGCAAATTCAACATCGATGTGATGATGATAGAAATCTGGATCAATGTGTGATCAACTCTATTTATTTTGTTTCCTAATTAAGTGAGGAAATTTTAATTGACAGCACCAACAAATGAATATATACACAAACATATGTTTGGCTATGGTCAAAAAAATTCAAGTTTTTGTATTGAATTTTTGGTTTAAAATTTATTTTTTCCTTTTCAGTAGGGGTTTTTGCACATTATCTTCTGCGTGAGAATTGATCGTAATAGATACGGATCTGAATAAGCGACTGGAACACGGCTGTTTATCAAAAGCATACGATTTCGAACTCGCGCAAATATACATTTGCTGAATGTGTTTTTGCTGTATTTAAATGCAACATTTAGCGCTATCGAACATGTTTTTTCGAAGAGCGTTCATGCTATCGCATTTAGCAAAAGTACATTAGGTTTGTATAGTAACCAATAGTCAGTACTAATTTGTACTGAAACCAGCAAATTTTTACTGGAAAACTTTATGATAGCCCAAATAATTTGCAAGAGAGCACTGAATCGAGAGCGTACCAACACGGGAGAGCTGCAAATTCTTGCTAGTGAAATTTTTACTCGCAGAAATTAGCTAGCCAGAGAAGAAGAAGAATAAATGTCAAAAGCCGCCATTTGTTGAATTGGTTTAGCACAAACAAAAGTAAAATGAGTGGAAATCGAAATATTAATGATGTACTGGACTGTGTAAGTGCTTGTGTGTAAAGCAAAAAGTTTAAAACTGATTTATAAATAGTAAAATGTTAACAGCAGAATGTCAAAACAGTGCAACAACTGTTTTTCTGCTAGTTTTCTCTTCTTCTCAATTTTACGCTTTTATTTTGCTTTTGCGCTCTCGCTGCAATGTTTTACTGGAGAAGTTACTATACAAACCTATTTACGGGAGTTCGAAATCCCATGCGTTTGACAAACAGCCGTGTTCCAGTCGCTTATTCAGATCCGTATCTATCACGATCAATTCGCACAGAGAAGATAACGTGCAAAAAACCCTACTGAAAAGGGAAAAAGAAATTTTAAACAAAAAATTCAATACAAAAACTTTAATTGTTTTAACCATAACCGAAAATTTGTTTGTGTATATATTCATTTGTCGGTGCTGTCAATTGAAATTTCCTCAATTAAAAAGGAAGAAAACAAACAGAGTTGAGCACAAATTCAGCCAGATTTCTGTCAGTATCATATCGATGTTGAATTTGCGCAACTTTCATTTTTCCAAAAAATTTAAAATAATGAATGAAATCTCGATCGATGATCACAAAAACGCAGCTTGCAGCTGTATACGCGAAAAAGCAATGTTGCCACTTTTTCTCATTAAACCATTTTCGAATCGTGGCCATTTTTGAAGATCACAGGATTGCTTATAGCATTTAGACCCTTAATGCAGAAATGGAGTTAAATTTAGTTGCATTTAGGTGACGAATTTTGTATGGATAAATGTACATTTAGAGTAGCATTTAGAGCTTAATGCGCTAAATGTGCTTTTCCGCGTAAGCAAAAAGAGCCCATAAGCCGATTCTGAACACACCACGTGAAAACCCTGTTATGGGCTTTTTTTGCTTACGCGTAAAAGCACATTTAGCGCATTTGCCCAAGAACACATAGCTAGAGTTGCGACAGAGTTGCATTGGCTTCAGTTTATCAAGTTTATTCAGTGAAATCGCTGGAGAAATTTATCAGAAATGTGTAAACTAGTTTCCATACAAATTTTGACAGTTCATTTATAAGGTTTACACAATTAAAAGTTTATACGGTTTACAATGCATTTATAAGGTTTGATGAATACCCTTATTGTTAATTGGCTAGCCGAATCAAGGTATGAATACAAGAAAAATGTTGTTAACCGAAAGAAACTGAAAGAAAAGAATTTTGGTTTTGTTTGTTTTTTTTTTTTTGTGGCAAAACTGTAAACAAAGGACGTAAGAAATGTCAGCGAAAACACTAATACCATGTTCGGAGCGAAAGTATTGGGTTTATGGGCTGAAAGCTGTTCGCACCGGCTGTTAGTGTTTTCGTTGACATTTCTTTCATCCTTAGTTTACAGTTTTGCTACGAAAAAACAAAATCAAAATCTTTGTCTATCATTTTCTTATCATTAGCACCCTTTTTCCCTTGTTCATATTTTAATTTGGCCAGCCAATTGACAATAAATCCAAACTAGCGTATTAAAGATGATAAAATATGACTTCCACTTCGATAAATAATCGGAAAAACTAGTGCGAACACCTATTGGAATGAGTGGAACTTGAGTTCTCAAGTAGTTTTCAGCGAAAACTGGTTTCCGTTTGACAGATTTTACATGGACGAAAACACAAGTTTTAGGTCGAAAGCCAGTTATAGCAACGCAAACATGTTTTCGATGTCGATACGAACATGGTATAACAGCCGGTGCGAACAGCTTTCAGTTCACAATCCCAAAACTCGTTTTCAAAGTGTTTTCGTTGTCGGTTCGAACATGGTATTAGCCGGTACAACGACAAAATGGCTTTAAATTTGTATGATTTTTGACAAGCAATTGGAGTGCTACAGTTTCACGGCTATACTCAATCCCGACTCTTGCATCCTCGTTCGCGCGCTCTGGGTAACGTGAGCAATACATGTACGAGATGCGGTAACCTACCCAAGTGGAGCCTTGGGCCACGTCAGAAAGAGGAGCTTCGGTGGGGCAGAGTCTGTTCACCAGTAGGTGCGGCTTCAAGCCGCTAGGCATCCAAAGATCTATTCTATGAGCGCTTGGAGCGCACATACAAGCGCTGCCCCCGAAATGATATCAAAATCGTGCTTGGCGACTTCAATGCCAGGGTGTGCAAGGAAGGGATTTTTGGAACCACTGTCGGAAAATTCAGACGTACACTGCGGGGCCCAAACATCGACTCGAACCACTATCTTGTTGCAGCTAAGATACGCTCCCGCCTCTGTGCAGCAAAAAATGTGTGCCCAAAAATGCAAGGAAAGCTTAACGTCGAAAAGCTACTATCACAACCAAGTGTGGAAGAAGTAGTTGGATTTCAGCGAGCCCGAAAGAACAACTGGTACGATGAGAAATGCCGGGAATCTGAAGAGAAAAAAGATGCCGCCTACAGGGCCACGCTGCGATCGGGCGCTGCGCGTGATATGTGGGACAGCTATAGGGAAATGAAGACTGCGTGAGCTTAGACTGCGAAGAACTTAAAATGCTGGCCGACAGGAAAAATGCCCAAAAATCTTACCAGAAAGTTAGGCGACTTACGGAAGGTTTCAAGACCAGGGTGAACTCCTGTAAGAACAACAATGGCGACCAATTCAGGGCATTTTAAGGTCTGCGCATTACGCGAAAATGGACGAGGAACTTCGAAGGCCCGTGTTGGGTTTCATGGCCACTACCACCACAGGGCGGCAATTTCCACAGCAGCGCACACAGCCCATGGTAGTCAGGCAACACACGTCCCTCATCCCTCGCATAACAACACGTGTTCCGAACCACACGAAGCTCCTTCAATTCAACTGCAATTGACTTCAGAGCGAGATCGAGGAGATAACCGTCTTCATGGGAAGGCATGAAATATTGATAGCTGCGGTCCAAGAGACGAAGTTGCACAGCAATTCAACATTGTTGAATTGCGCCGGATACAATGTGCACCGTCGAGATCGCGAGCGAGATAATGGTGGTGGCCTAGCGTTCATCACGCACCACACCGTGTAGTATCGTCTTATCGAAGCAGACATCGACCACAGGGATACCATCCTGGAATGTTAAGGTATTGCTATCTGGTCAGGCGATGTCGAGCTCGAAATATTTTTTTTTATTTATTAAGCCAATGAATACAATAAAAATTCTTATAGGCTAAGTAGAAAATAGTTTGACATTATTAATACATAATAAGAAAAAATAAAACTACTTATAAAAAAGATTCAGAGAGTTCCTAAAGCGATTTTTTTAAGTTGACAAATCGATATCAACATATTTATAAATTCTGTTGAATTCAATTAAGGCTCTAGTGATGGGAGCATTTCGTGCATATAGAGCCCTAAAAATACCAACATGGGAAATCTCTGAGCAGCGTAGAGGTCTGGCAGGTATATTAAAGAAAATCCCCTCAAGGAGTACGGGACAGTCTACAACACCACAGACTAGATCGAAAACAAAAGATAAAGAAAGGATTATTCTCCTACTTTGCAAGGATTTTAAGTTTATCAAAAGGCATCTCGATTCATAGGTGGGATAGGGTCCGAAAAGCGTAAGTTATGTAGCGCAAAGCGTAAGAAAACTTTTTGGATCCGCTCAATCCTAGCAATATGACACGTATAATAAGGAGACCAGATAAAGGACGCGTATTCAAGCCTGGAGCGTACAAAAGCCATATACAAAATTTCAGTGTATACGGGTCGGTGAATTCCCTACCATGGCGCCTTACAAAAACAAGCATGGAATACGATTTTGTAATAATAAAATTTATATGATTAGCGAATGTAAACTTTTAGTCAAAAATTACTCCAAGGTCCTTAATTTCATTTAAACGCTGTAGTGGCGACATGGAAATATGATAAGAGCCCTGAATAATATTACAACGTTTAGCATAGGTAACGTAAAAGCATTTATTTGTATTCTAACATTATCGATATCGTTTTGCATCAATTGAGAATCGAGAGAGTTACTGACCGGAGAATAAATCTT